CTCTCTCTCTCTCTCTCTCTCTCTCTCTCTCTCTCTCTCTCTCTCTCTCTCTCTCTCTCTCTCTCTCTCTCTCTCTCTCTCTCAACGTAATCGCAATTCTTATTATTCGCGGTCAATCTTAAAGTCGTGGAAATTTATTTTAATTTTGAAAACATTCTATTTTAATTTCTAAGAAATGTTTCTGATCTATTCTTATAATAAAAGTTAAGAACAAAAGGAGCAATGAAACATACATGTATATAAAGTAACAATCGGATATCATATTCTTATTGTATTGATATTTTCTTTTTCTTTTTCTTCCTCCCCCTCCTTCCCTCTCTCTCTGTCCCACTCACTCTTTTTTTTTCTTCGTTCTTCCCGTATAGTTTTCTATATTAACTTTTTATATTAATAATTATTTTTATTTACAGTGAAACTAATATAAATTTTGCGAATGTCACAAATATTATAGTCTATATTTTCCAATTCTACATTCCAGTTTATCGAAATGTAGAAAGTAAAAAAACTGAAGAAGCAAGTTGAAGAAAGAGGGAAAAAGAGAGAAATTAATCTTGTGGAAATAGCTGATCGCGATCTATTCCCTTTCTTACTTACGACTCTGATGCATATTTATTAGTAATAATTTCCTTTTTCATATGCTAGCTTTCTGCAAATGCGCGTTTCGTCGGTGCGCGCATTGGAATCACCGAGACCGTTGCAAGGATATTGAAAGAAGTGGAGTAGCATTAAAAGCGATAGTTAAAGAGAAATACTTTATTAGTTACGCGAATTGAGAAATTTAGCTGCGTGTTTACAAAAAAAAATTTTGCATACTAAGTATACAGACAAGCAAAATTTATGTTTTTAATCGAGAAAATAAACGATATTGGTGCAAGAAGAAATATTAAATGCGAAATAATAACCACCTCGACTATATAAAGAAACAACGATAGAACGACAGAGATTGTTACTCGTCGATGATGGTCGTCGCGACAATCGACTGACTGCCTCTTCCTCGCGGCAGTACGTTGCTTTCTCAACAGCGATTGCGCGCCTTTTTCCACGCAAGCGCAATTCGCGGTCGATATCGGTCTGAATTTTACCCCTCCGCTCATCCAGACACCCTCTCTACACTGCTTCAGACTCTTTCCATATCCCTTTCGTTCTTTCAATCCTCTTTCTTCAATTTTCTTTTTTTTTCTACTACTTTCTTTCGATTAATTGTCATTATCTCTCTCTTTAATACGAGTTATTTAGCCTGATTAAAAAATTATATTATTATTTTTTATATAAGATTTTTCGAAAAAAACTCACAGCTTTTACAATTCTTTCGATATACACTACTTTTAATAATATTTATAATTTTTAATAAAACATTTATTCATTTCATCCAATATAAATGAATCTATCATTTTCACAATTTTTGACATCTTCGTACTATATCTACCGTAACACGATGATTTTTTTGCAGACTTAGACTTAGAATTGTAGACTTTATTTTTTCTCTATATCTTTTCTATCTCTCATTCTCTATTACGATATTTAAGTTATTTTTCATTTTTTTATCATTTGTTCATTCAACGAACAAGATCGCTGAAAACGAAAAAGTCTCTTTCTCTTTCTCTTTTTTTCCTCGCTTCTTGCTTCCTTCCTTCTCTCCCTCCCTCTCTATCTTTCTCTCTCTCTCTCTTCCTCTCGTTTTCGTTTATTCATTGAACGATAACACGTATCAAATCAACTATGTTAACCGTATTTGATACGAATGAAAAGATCATTCTTTTAATATAATTAAATCTATACGTATATATAAATATACGTTTGTCGAGATTTTCTATGTATACATATTTGTTGATAGATAAATCTTCAATACGCGATCAATTTTACTCGATCTTTTTTGTATCGATCAAATTTCTTATTCTTTATCTTTCAATTAAGTTTAATTTGGTATCGTTTGCCGTAATAATAAAACTTTGATCAGTGTTATTAAGATTAGTTTATACACATATTCCACTACTTATATTCTTAAAGCATTCGATTAAATGTTTCTTTGGTAATATATATTTTTTTTTGGTAATAAATTCCAATATGATCGATACATTATTATTATTTTATTACGATTGGATTATCTCTGATGTTATTCGTAATATGCGTGATCCTCAGTTTTCTATAAATATAATCTTTTTCGTTCGCAATACTTTCAAAATAGAATTTTGATAAAATTCATAGTCCAATTTGTTTATTGTGTTTTTATATTTTTCGCTTGCACGTTTCGAATTTACTGTATCATTATTTCAAAGCGTCACAATTTTCTCTTTAAGAAGTAAGTCTTCCTTTCTTGACTAGATCGTATGTATGTTAACTTTGTGTGAACCAGAGTACTGTTTGATATTTTGCAATTCTGTGTCTTTCGCTTGTTTTCCTTTTTATTTCGCAATCACAGATAAAGATATATTTGTATATCAATACAAATAATTTCTTTTCGTTCCAATTAATAAATTGTGTTAGTAGTCTTAGGCCTCTCCCCTTTGAATCGTTCCCTTGATTAGCACGAAAAGCGAAGAACCCGCCACCATCTGAAAGAAATCAAGAGAAATACCCCTGGTATTTCTTTACTACCTGATATTAATGTAATTTAAAATAACTATCAATCATTATCGATGAATTTTTTTTTTTCTATTTTTCATGTATCATCGATTAATATCAATCTCTACTTTCCAGCTGTCTTTGCTTTTAATTTTCTATTAATTAAAAATAATTTATCGAATATGAATCATTGTAATCGAATAATTTGTTTTTATTATCTATCTATCAATTATCATTCTAAATAATTGATTGCATTAGTCGTAGATAGATTAATCAAGGAAACTAATTAAAGAGATAGCCTGTTTCATGTTGCTCGAATTAAAATCGAATTGAACCAATGGTTCAACTTCGTACCATTTCTCATGATTTTTGTTAAAATTTTTTGATCTTTCATAAGTACACAAATACTAGCTTGTACGCTCGTATATTCATGAATATAAAGATGCTTACTATAGAACTCCTGCTCTTGTTTCATCGCGACGTGACACATGCTTATGCGCCGCATTGAACTTCCCAGTCTGGAAAGAGAGACGGTTCATACATACGTATACACGTATCGCGAGATTTCGTCGTTTAACCGATGCGAATCTCTTGTTCGTTCACATTCTGCTCAAGTCCGAGAATAGGATATCTAAACGAGTTCAAAATTTTCTTTATAACAGTATCTCACTTTTTACTTACCATGTACAACTGGGCTTGGAATTTCAATGAACACTGCAAGAAGGAAGCTTCTTTGCGAAGCGTCCGCTCAATCCTACTCTTGTATCGCCATCTTCAAATCACGTTTGACTCTGTCGGTGATATTGACAAAAGCTCAATAGAAGGGCGAAACAATTCCAATGAAATACTGTACCATCTTTTTCCAATAGATGGCGCGCAAAACTCGAGTAAATTAATATATAATACACGCATATGAATAAATACATTAGCTTATAAAATATATATACGTATAAATTTATATATTTATTGCATATATAAATGATATAATGTATGTATGTATGCATTATAAATATTTATATATAATTTTTAATTAAACGTTAATAAATCTTTATATTTACTTTATCTTTACGAAATAATATTTTTTAAAATTAAAACTGAAATTGTCTCATTTACGATTTTTTTATTATTTTTTTAAAATATATTTTTAAAAAGTCGATACAATGGACAAAAACAAAAATAGATCTAAATGTACATATAAAAAAGTACATATATAAAAAAGCTTTGAAAAAGATCAATCAATATATATATTTTTATATAATATATTATATAATTAGTAGTAAATATTTTTTGATCTACATTTAACGAATTATAATATATCACGAACGAGTTATCTATAATATTGAACGAAAAGATACCACAGACGAAGTATAGGATAGACGTGATATGCAATGCTTTTTCGTGCCTTAAGAATTCGGGAGTCACTTGATCTTTTACCATTTTCGTGTCACATGCGACGTTATCGATATAGAAAACAATTATAGCGTTAATAGTGGTTGGAATTAAAATCTAAATTTTATAAAAATTATAAATAAAATTATAAATAAAAATAAAAATCAAAACATTTTATGACATAAATATAAATTTATATTTTTCGATTTATTATGATTATCTTTGTACGTGTATGATTTAAATGATTAAATGAAACAATTAATTTTGAGCAAAAATAATGTATTCTTAATTTTTTTCGATTTTATCGCATTTTTTAATATGTACAAAACAAATTTTTTATTTTCAAACGTGCTATTAATACAATGAAATTGATTTTTTTCTTTTATTCATTAATAGAATTAAGTAATATCTTTTAATATAAAAAAAATTACTTTCACAATTACAAAGAAAAATTAAAAAGAAAATATCATTTAACATAATTTTTACATAAAATATTAAAAATGTGGAAAAATATTATAATATTTTTTTATATTATATTAATTTATTTTACAATTTTGATGGAACATATTTGGGAATAATATTTGGGAAATTAATATATATATTACATATATATTACATGTACGTATATATGCATATTTTTTTATTTTTTTAATATATCGATTTTAGAGGATCAAATTTAATTTTAAACATTTTATCTCTTTAATTTTTGTATTAAATTAATTATAATAATCTATTTTTATTATCTTTTTAATCAATCTATCTTTATAAAAAAAAAGTTCTTTGTATAAAAATCTACAGTTAAAGTTTTAATATATTTCAATTATAGTTCAATTTTCGCGCGGCTAAAGATAGAACCACTGCAGCCAATTAGAAAGCCGTTGAGACTTAGCGGCGCGACGAATCAGTGTACATCATAATGCGCATGGCATCAATCTACAATTGAAAATCGTGATAACAGTTGTGTTTCATCGGCAGAGATGTATAATAACATAAAATTTTTATTGATAGCATATTTATTAAAATTTGTATACTCAATGCTTGTTTAATCATTATTATATAGAATATCAGAAATTAAATATGATAAATTATCATTTGGAGCTTTGAAGGTGTAATATTTTTTTATACATGTTTGCATATATGTCAACTAAGAAATAATCCTACAATTTTTATTCAAATGTGGTAAGATTTTTATTTATTCATTTTAATAGAAATATAATCAATTATAAAATTCTTTTATCTTTTTATTTTTGCAGAGATGAAAATAGCTAGACAATTCATATCGATTAACATATTATATATATTTATTTTTCTTCTAAATATCAATCCATCCGTATATTCAACTCATGTGTCATTTCTATATTCGTTTTGATTTTACGTTGATGGTCAGCGTTATGTCATATTCCACATATTTCGATTTGTCGAATTGTTGATTATTTGTTTCTTTTCAATTTGTAATTCGATACATCGAAATCTTTATGGGTCGAAATTCGCGACGATTAGACATTGCTTCAAACGTGTGATTATTGTAATATTTATTTTAATTGTTGAATATTTTTAATTTGTATAATTTGTGATATTATTTTTTCATTTTATACACTAATATTTCACTTATACTCATTTGTCCAATTATGTCTATGTGTATAATATAATTTTAATTGATAATTTTTTGAACAATAATTGAAAAGTAATAAAATATTGTATTCTTCAATTAAAAAATAGAGTCATTAGAGAATTCTAATTTTTAAATTTCAAGTTTATTTTTATGGAGATATACATTTCGGAGATATATATTTTTATGGAGATATATATTTCGGAGATATATATTTTTATTATTATTATATTTTATTAAAATTTCAATCTGAATTCTTATCGTGATATTTGTAAATTATAATATTTCATTTTTTTGTTACAGATATTTTTCAATTTCCGCGACTTCCCATGACCATGAGAATATTAATGACAATGCAGTTTCTTCGCAACTAGTTGTAAGTCGCATACATTTTGGTTTCTCCAGTCATTCAATTACATCGTAAAACGAAAAATCCAAATGTGATTGGTTGTATATGTAGAATTTTTGCATGAACATTTACATAGTGACCATGAGTATTTATTATATCTAATAAGATATAACATTTTTTTTACGTTTTATCTGTTTATTAATTTTAAGCTAAGTTTTCTTGTACATCGCGTATTTAAATAAAAGTAATATTCGAGATTAGTTAATAAAATTATTATTATTATTAAATTATTGTAATAATAATAATATTTATAATAATATTCATGCATATTCATCATGAATTAGAAACGAGAATTTAAATGAATAATATATAATGGAATAACAAATCATTTTTATTTTCATTCATGCTAATAATTTTAAATAATTTTTTTAAATAATTTCTTTTAAATAATTTTAAGTGATTTTCTGTGATTTGTCTGAAAATATTATATGCAAGAAAACATAAAATTCTAAAATTGTGACATAGTATAAATGATAGATTAAGAATTTTTACATGATCTGATAGATAAAATGATAGATAAAAATGAAAAGAATATTTTTCGATATATAGGATTTATAAATAAAATATTTAATTGTTATAGAACTAGAGATTTAAAATATTTATATTGTTTCAATGTTTATTAGAAAATAGCATGATAGAAAAATATTTATTAAATAAAATATATTTAGAATGAAATCTATGCATAATCAAATAATATTAATTAAATAGATAAAGTAATGCAATGTAAGTAAATAGATAATTAACGAGCAAAATGATATAATGTTGGGAAGTTTATTTTGCTTATTTTCTTTTTTTTCTTTTTTATTCTTTTAATTATCAATTATTTTTTATTTTTATAATAATGAAAATATGAAATATTGAAAATCTTAAATTTAAATTTTATTTTTAGATTTTTAGTTTTCCGCTCCAATTTTGTTTACGGTTTCTTTTGCTGTTTTACGTGTTGCACAACGAACGCGAATTTAAATTTTTACAAACGAACAATAAAAGGAGAATTTACTTGAAAATAAATAAATTTTTATACAAAATTGGAGAGATGAATGGGACATTGTGATCAGAATGGTTCTCCAATTCGCAGGAATTTCCAAGCGATGAGACTTGGGAAATCATTATTATTTAATATACAATATATGATTCATTCATTCATTTCATTGTATAGTTCACTGTATAGTTAATATCAGTGATACAATTATATATTTTATGAGAAATAATAAGCTAATTGGTAATTGTGAGCATGATTATATTTTTGATAAATAATAGAAATTTTGTTAAAATAATAATGCAAAGTATATAGTATTGAAAAGTAATAAATAATATAGATATTAATAATATTAGTGAATAATCTTCTTTTAATTCTGAAAATTGAATGAAATGTATGAACACAGATTTTTAATTTTGAATGATTCAATTTTGTATACGTAGTTAGATTATAATCTGCTAGATGGTGTTTGATTTTTTAGAGATTGGTCAATTTCAAAACACGTGACACAAAATCTTATGTTTGATACAAAATATCTCACATCTATTTTATTTCTTGTATTTTATTATTCTGTAAATATCATTAGTAAATATTTATTAATATGCATTTAATATATAACGAATTATTATATTATAAATGAATACAATCGTTTGTGATATCGAGCGAAAAAATATCACAAAGGATATATCAATGCCGTTAGTCGATATAATAGATTCCTAACAACATTTTCACTACCAAGCCCAAATACGTAAATACGAATTTATATAATTGGATATTGTTATTATTGTTAATGTATCATATGATGTAAGTAATGATACAAATTCAATTGTTTTATTGTTATTTCATTTTCTTTTTTTGTTATTCTATTGAATTTTATAAAAGTCTATCTATTACAAAATTTTATGATTCTATCTATTTAAATTTTATAATATTTCGATAGATAATTATGATAACAATTTATAATTGATTATTCATTGAATTTTATAATTTTAATTTGTATAGAAAATGAAATAAATATTAAAATGAATTCGTATATATGTATATATATATATATATATATATATGTACAATGTTTCATAGTTGTTTTTTTTTATTCGTTTGAGTAGCTTATAAGTAAATTATTAAATTATATTATATTAATTTATTATATTTATTCAAATTATAATTATATTTATCAAATTATATTAATTTTTATTAAAAATATATGTATATGTGCTTATGTTTTATACTTATCTTGTTCATTGACAAAAGAAATTCGATGATATAATATAAATAGTGACGAACAAAATTTGTAAGCGCGAATGTGCGCCATTGTTGCCGCGAAAGTCGAAGAATGACGGAAATAGACGAAGTTGAATTGTAGAAGATGACGAAGTCGAGTGCAGACGCGAGTGCCAGTGCGGACGATACAGACATTGTGCGAGCAAGTGTAATGAAACAGAGAACATGATGTTTGCGACGTATTATAAATCTTGTTAAATTTTTACTTAACTATCGTTCGGAACGTTCTATTCTATCTCTTTTTGGACTGCGTGAAAACGGTGACTTGTGGACTACAAGTTTACTTAGATATCGTTATATTTTTTTTATCTGTATTTTTACATTTTTTTTCACGCCATTCTTTCGCGTGTCGTTCGGTCTTACATCTCGACCGATTCTGATTGGATTAGTTATCACGTTATTGCGTGTGTTCGATAATATTTTGTGTTCTTTTATGTGAATGATAATAACGATAGCGACACTGAGAGTAATGGTAACGGTGACGGTAACGGTGGCGGTATGATCACTGACGTTTCGTTTTGGATCGACTACGTCGCGTGTGTATACCACCAGTTGCCTGTTGCATAACTACGATTTTACGATAGGCATCTTCTTGTCTCGTTCGACATTCCACTGGACAACGAATTCATCAATCATTAACAAAGTCGGATGTGATTCGTTTTGTGATTAACTATTATAACGAGGTGAGTGTTAATGTTTACACCAATCATTATTATCGATTCAATATCGATATCTTTAAATTTAATTTATTGTTATACGTTTGAATTATCTTATACGTATAATTCATTTTGTTTTTAGTTGTTTTCTGATATCTATAAGTTTGATATATTTATAGATATTATATTATATAAACATTACAATATTAAATATAATGTATGATATTAATGAAATTCATAAATCTTGAATTTCTGACGATAATTCTCGATTCAATATATCGTCTAATTGTTTCTATATCATATTCTTAAATTGTAAATCGAATGTGAAGTCAATGTATTTGTAAATGAATTTTTATAATTTTCGTCTTATTATTTGTAGATGGATAAAATGAATATAATGAATTACTCAGTATGGATTATGAGAACAGAAGAATGTTTGCAAATATGTTATTTAAACTTGTTGATATATTTTTGTAAGAATAAAAAAAAGAAAAAAAAGAAATAAAAGAAAAAAAAAGAAAGATACAAAGATTATCGAGTAGAATTTTTTCATTATTATTCACGATTTAGTAAAAAAAATTGAAATTGGATGGAATGAATTTCTAAATAAACACTTACATTCTTATTTTTCGTATTTATTGCGAAATATGCAAACTAGTATTATGAAAGTGATATCAAATTGAAAAGTTGTATTACATATTTATATGCATATATGTATGTAGAAAAATTGCGTCGTAGAACAACTTGCACAATTTACAAATGATAACGTGTGCGATCGAATCCGAGCATTATAAATATATACATACATACATACATACATA